AGAGAGAGAGAGAGAGAATTTTAATATTTATTTTTTAGTTCTCGGAGGACACAACATCTTTGTTTGTATGTGGTGCTGAGGATCGAACCTGGGCCGCACACATGCTAGGCGAGCGCACTACCGCTTGAGCCACATCCCCAGCCCAAATTCCTAGGTCCTTGATCCACTCTGAGTTGAGTTTTGTGCATGGTGAAAGATAGAGATTTAATTTCATTGTGTTACATGTGGATTTTCAGTTTTCCAGCACCATTTGTTGAAGAGGCTATCTTTTATCTAATGTATGTTTTTGGCACCACTGAAGTTTTGTGGGTTAGACTCTGTGTTCTCTATTCTGTACCATTGGTGACAGGTCTATTTTGGTGCCATGGAGTGAAGTTGATAAAAGCTTTCTCCTCCCAGGTTTTGTTCTGCTAATCATCCAGCACAGCCATAGAGGTATAATCTCTATTATAGGTTATATTTTTTAACCTATAATAGAGCACAGATGGGTGTAATTTTGCAAATTTTTAATCAAAATGTTTTTGCTATATTATTAGTCACTATTTGGTATTCTTATATAAAATTTTATTCCAATATGTAGTAGATACTAATAAAAATATAACTTCCCATGATATTGATGAAGGGAAGAAAAACAAATAATGGACTATTTGCTTGTAAATTTACTAAGAGGCATTGTTAGCAACCAACAAATTGTATTGACCTGTAATTATTTTAGATTATATATATATATCTATATATCTATGTAATATTATTATATATAATATATACAGATTTTATATATAGAACATATATACAGATTATATATAAAGATTTTGTATAATATATAATATGTTAATTTTTTCCCCTTTTCATTCATGCAACAGCAGCTTCCTTGAATTTATTGTATATTCATTTTCTACTACAGTGCTATTTCTAATACTAGTAAATGAAGGTGGAAGTTAATAGCCTCATTTCATATCCCAAATCAGTCTTTTGAAAGCTTAAATGTGTTTCTTTCATAAAAGTTTCACATCCTTGTTCAACAAAGAGTAGAATACAAAAGATATTTTAAGAGCATCCAAGGCCTCAATCTCAAAACACATGTAATAATCTAGTAGTTTGGAAATATACACTTTCTTTTTCTTTTGGCATTTTTAAAATGTGTTCTAATTAGTTATATGTGACAGTAAAATGCACTTTAACATATCATACATAAATTCAATATAACTTCTCATTCTTCTGATTGTACACAATATAGAATCACACTACTGGTTGTGTAGTCATTTATGCATACAGGGTAATAATGTCTGATTCATTCTCCTATCCTTCCTACCCCTCTATCCTCTCCCCTCCCTTCACTCCCCTCTGCCTAATCCAAAGTAACTCTACTCTTCCCTAGTTGCTGCCTGCTTGCCTTATTCTGAATTAGCAGCTGCATATCAGAGAAAACATTTTGCCTTTGGTTTGGGGGATTGGCTTACTTCACTTAGCATGATATTCTCCAGCTCCATCCATTTACCAGCAAATGCAATCATTTCATTCTTTAAGACTGAGTAATATTTCATTGTGTGTGTGTGTGTGTGTGTGTACATACCACATTTTCTTTATCCATTCATCTGTTGAAAGGCATCTAGGTTGGTTCCATAATTTGGCAATTGTGAGTTGAGCTGTTATAAACATTGATGTGGTTATGTCACTGTATCATGCTGATTTTAAGTCCTTTGGGTATAAACAGAGGAGTGGGATATCTGGGTCAAATGGTGTTCCATTCCATGTTTTCTAAGGAATCTTCATACTGCTTTCCTAATGCTTGCACAATTTGCAGTCCTACCAGCATGTATGAGTGTACCTTCTTCCCCACATCCTTACCAACAATTATTGTTGCTTGTATTCTTGATAATTGCCATTCTGACTGGAGTGAGATTAAATCTTGGAGTAGTTTTTAATTTGCATTTCTCTAATTGCTAGAGATGTTGAACATTTTTTCATATATTTGTTGATCGATTCTATTTTTTCTTTTGTAAAGTGTCTGTTCAGTTCCTTAACCCATTTATTGACTGGGTTATTTGTTTGTTTGTTTGTTTTTCTGTTAAGGTTTTTGAGTTCTTTATATATCCTGGAGATTAGTACTCTATCTGAAGTTCATGTGGTAAAGATTTTCTCTCATTCTTTAGGCTCTCTCTTCATGTTATTGATTGTTTCCTTTGCTGAGAAAAAGCTTTTTAGTTTGAATCCATCCTATTTATTGATTTTTTTGTGCGTGTGTGCTTTAGGAGTCTTGTTAAGGAAGTCATCTCCTAAGGCAACATGGTGAAGATTTGGGCCTGCTTTTTCTTCTATTAGGCAGTGTTCTTAATGCAAATATAATATTATATTCTGCTTTATTGACTCACCATTAGTTCACAAAAAATTTTCACATCATTAGATCATGTATGTATATGCATATATATGCATGTGCATATGTACAGTGATTTTAATTATATGCAAATAAATATATCATAAATAGATTTGTTTTGGAATGAAATGAGGCACACAGATTCTTCATGATCTTAAATATAGATTTCCTTGTGGCAAATTTCATATTGGACTATAGATCTCCAATGTAGGCAACATAGCTACATTGCTTTGCACTTTTCTTAGATGTGAAAATTTGAAAGATGGCTTCATCACTAGGCTACAAGTTTTGATGACACTGCCAATTCTCTGGTTGTCTTCAATGCAGATTTATAAATTTATTACAGTAATTTTCCAATGTATGCTAGGAAAAAATTACCTCAAAGGCTATTAGCTTGTACTAATCCTTGTAGTACATACACTATGTAATTTCTTACTACTCTTGGGGCAGGATTCATTAATCATCTGCTTAACTTTGTGTTATCTAATTATATATCATATATGTATGTATTTTAATTTATTTTTCCATATTTTACATCTAGAATCAACAAGCTGGGATCTGGAAGTGATTTTGAAGCTTATTTTCAGAGACTTGGAATTGCTTCAGGCAGAGTTCGTTACACCAAGAACAGGGTAAGCCACTTTATTATTTTCAATATATAGCATTTGTGTTAGTCAGCTTTCCATTACTGTAACAAATACCTGAGGTGAACTACTGATAGAGAGAGGTTATTTGGACTCAGCATTTGGGAGAATTGTGTCCATGGTCAGTGGCATCAGTGCTTTTGGGCCTGGTTGAGGAAGCACATCTTGTGGGGAACACATGGTGCAAGAAAGCTGCTGACCTAATTACAGCTGGGAAGCCAAGAGGGAAATAAGAATAAGAAGTATTGCCACTATCCTTCCAGACTATCATGCCCCAAAGACCTAAGACCTCTCACAAGGCCTACTTCTTAAAAGTTTGGCTACCTTCTAGTAGTGCAACCTGAGGACCAACCCTTTAACTCATGGGACATTGGGGGACATTTCAGTTCTGAACTATAGCAACAATGTATGAATCCACCTTCCATTGGTGAGGAACTGTTTTCTGAGTTGTTTGGCATTGGGCACTAAATAGACATGTGGCCTGGAAAGAACTCCAGGGATGCAGACAGACTGCCTGCTCTTCTAGATAAACCAGGAAGTAATTTGGATTATTTTGTGAGTATTTCACTACTAGGTTTATTCACTGAAGTGGCAGTTCACAGAGTAACGGCACATGGTTATCAGTAGTAGGTAATTCATATTCTTTTCTTGATTCAGGGTAAGTTGGAAAAAATCTCATCTTCTAGCCTAGTTTTATTTATTTTTTCCTAGCCTCATCTTGTAGGCTCTGATGTCCTTTTCCTGAGGAAAATGCAGTTGGAGGATGTATTTTGTTTGAGGGGTACACTAGTCTATTCTCAGTAGCCCCTCTTCATATTCCAAATCCTGCCTATCATGAGTCCAGGACTTCTGAGTAAAGAACAGCAAGTTTCTCTTAATTATTAACTTGCTATTCTTCTGTTCTGCAGTGTCTAGTTTGCATCCCTGTCACCTAAGCACCCAGATGATATAGTTAACTTGGATATAGTCAACATACCATATTGACTTGTCTATATTATAAATTAAACCATAAATTACACTGAAGATTTCATTAGTAAACACAGATTTTCACAGCTTTTAATCAGTTTTCAAATCAAAAGTGCAATACACCAACATCTTGTATGTAGATAATATGTATCCAATTGACAGTCCAAAATATAATTAAGAACAAAGAATTAAGCTAGAACAGTTCTAGGAATATTACAAAATAGATGTATAAATTCTGTAAACTAATATGCCTTATACTTAATACAGTTGACCCTTGAACAACATGGGTTTGAACTGCATGGGCTCATTTATATGTAGATTTTTTTGGAGATTCACTACAATTTGAAAAATGTACAGATGAATAATGTAGCTTCCCTGTCAAAAAATACACATAAAAGATTAGGTATGTCATGAATACATTAAATGTATTTAAAAAATAGTCTGTGTTATTATTTACTACCAGGAAAGTTTATTATAACTATTTAGAATTTATCAAAACCTACACACAAATGCTTAAGGAGACCTGGTATCATTTGCAGGAGAAAGAAATATAAACACGTAAAGAAGTATTAAAATTAATTATAGTCTACACTATACTACTATAATAATTTCATAGCTGTGTTCTATTGTATTGTGGTGAGCTTAAGTGTTGCGAGTATCTGTTTCAAATGCCATATGACACTAATCATCCCTGCATTATCAGTTGTCTCTCCAGTAAGTTGCATGGGCATAATAAAAAGTAATCTTTTCTGATTCCCACATATTTTCACTATATAGAATACATATTACACACAAAATATATGATAATTGTTGTTGTTTTCAGTAAGGCTTCCTGTCATTAACAGGATATTAGTAGTTCAGTTTTTGGAGAGTGAAAAGTTATCCTTGAATTTTGAAATATATGTGTGGGGACAAATCAGTATCTCTAACACCAATGTTGTTTAGTGGTCAACTGTACATAAAAGGTGAGCTTTTAATTCATTTTTAAGGCCTTTTCACTTTTGTACCCTGTCATCAATTTGAGCAGTTATATAGTTTCTAAGACCACTACAGATTAGAAACAGACAATTAGAAGAAGAGTGACCAAGACAAAATTTTTTCTAGTGAGACTAAATAAGAATGATAATATGAATGATAACCCTATAACAAGGTAGCAGGTGGTAAACTAAACTTAGGATAGGTAGACCTAAGAACTAAAATTTTATATATATATTCTTATACAATCCTACTATACCATAATTAATGTTCATTATAGTAGCTCTTAATTATGTAATAAAGGTTAAATGATTTGGTTATACACTTCTTGGGGAGGGAAGACATTAAATACACCATTGTTCAGTTGAATAAATACCTAGCTGCCAAGCACCTTTAATTCCCAATTGATGGATAATTTCAAACTGCTAATGTGCAGATCAAATATATATTCCTTAATTTTAGTTATTAGAAATACAATAAAGAAAAACTTCAAGCAGCGGCATTTTGAATAAAAGCTGCATGAATATAAAATGAATAAAGGTAAAATTTTAAATCAGTGAATTATTGGTTGCAATATTTTAGTTAATTAAATTTCAATATTTTTGCTTTATTGTGTTAAAACTCAGGATACATATTAATTTTTCAGTCACTTCTCTTGATTACATAAAATATTTTAATTTGAATAAATATCCAATTTTATTTTACACTTGAATCTTCTCTTTTTTAGAAAACAGATAAATACAGCAGCTACCCTGTATATCACACAATTTATGAAACATTTGAATTAGTTGAGAATTTTTATGACCCCACATTTAAGAAACAGCTCTCTGTGGCTCAATTACGAGGAGCACTGGTATATGAGCTTGCAGAATCTATAATCATTCCTTTCAATATTCAAGACTATGGAACAGCTTTGGAAAACTATGCAGCAAGTATCTTCAATTTATCCAAGAAATATGACCAGCAATTGAAAGATGAGGGGGTATCATTTGGTAAGACATTTTATAATCTTTAAGGTAGTGCTTGATGATATTATCTTTTATGATCAATAGATACTGTTTCATTCTAGAATTAGTCATAATTACTTATTTTGCCTAACTAATTCTTTTACACAAAAATGAACATCTACTTAATTAGGAATCTGATTTAATCTGATGTGTCTAGAATGAATCCATTATGGCTGAGTTAGTGCTACAAGCAGTGGATTGGTAAATATTCCTTATTCTATACTGCCTTTAAGAACATTTTTCACTTTTACAAAAGCAAAGTGAAGAAATTGTAAAAATATTGAAAATTAGAGAAGACCACCAGTTCTACTACATATATGTATTAAACATTCTTATCACTGAATATTTCCATTAGTGTTTGTGTAAATGAATAATTATTTACATAGTTATAAGCTATGTAAATATGTTATAACTATGTAAATATCTTTCTTTTTTTAACTGGTCACTCAGTTTTGGTTCTACTTCATATATCTCCTATAAAGTAGGGATTAAAATATAATGTAGAATAGTAGCATAGAGTATTGGGTCTGGAAGATTGCCTAAATTAGATCCCAGCTCTACCATTTAGTCTGTGTGTTCTTTGGAAAGTTACTTAACTTCTCTATGCCCCAGTTTTTTGTTTTAAGAAGTGAAACAATAAAATGAAAGACAATAATATGTCAATGATTATTGTGGAGATCGTTAAGTAATATAAAAGCAGTGGTGGTTAGCACTGTTCTTAATAAATGCTGCCTATTATTACTATTTTATTATCACTTTATTTTATTATTCGGGGGGACTTATTCTTATATAACAAAATTGTAAAATATGTACTGTTTACTCTGTCGAAAGTGCTGTTATTTTGGACAGATTGTATTATAAGACTTAGTCAAATACTCAAAGATTAAAATCTTATGTGGGCAAGGAGAAGACAAAATGCATAGGAAATTAGAGGGTACACAGAGTACTATAGCACAAAAAAGTGTTATGGAGTGGTCATATGTTATTTTAAGTATTATTACATAAGTGTTAGTAATCTTTATGAAGTTACAAAGAAAAGAGGTATTTTGATATAGAAATAAAATAAAGCAAAGAAAATACAGAGAATTGTGGTTATATAAATGATTGGGGTATCTCTGCATGGTGAAGGAAATGAAGAGATTAAATTAGAGAAATAAGCAGAGTTAACAGGAAGACAGTCCTTGATATTTCTTTGGCTATTTAGCATACAGTTGCCTTTATAAGTGCCCAGATTTCCTTTTGGCGGAATTATGTCTTATCCATTTGTATAAATCAGGGTCCAATCAAGAGGCATAAACTACACAAGCTCAACAGAAGGGCTCCCTTTAAATGGTATTCATTCTTCTACCAGCTTACCGTGTTTGGGACCTGGTCTGCTTTGTCAATGCCTTGCTCTGCTCTATTTTAGTAATTTCTTCATTGGTGACTATCCTTCAGATGAAATATTTTCCTATCTTTCAACAGTATTTCTTTTTTTGATGTGTACTACTTCTTTCACTATTTAAAGTCTTCATTTAGTGCCAGTCAAAAACATTAACTTGGAAAATGTTTTCAATGAAGAAGAAAGGTCTGATGAATTACCAAATGAATGAACACAAAATTGGCATTCCCTGTCTTCAGTTCTCCATGCCACACAAATTAATTCATTGTGCTATCTTATCTCCTGAAAGTGGCTTTTGCCAATATTGTCATTGACCTGAGTCACTAAATTCTAGGAAAACATTTCCATTCTTATCTTGACTCCAGTACATTTTTCTTTTTCTTTTTTGCAATACTGGGGATTGTGCCCAGGTAGCTTTACCACTGAACTACATCCCCAGTCCTTTTTATGTTTTATTTTGAGTTAGGGTCTAAGTTGCTGAGACCGGCCTAGAACTTGAGATCCTACTGCCTCAGGCTTCTCAGTCACTGGGATTACAGGCATGTGCCACTGTGCCTTGTAACTTCTGTTATTACAGTTAAAATTAAAAACTTCAATACTCTCTTCCCTCAGTTTCCATCACATCTGTTATTATTTAAGCAAGATTTAAAACACAAGTAAAATTGAAGAAAATCTAGGATGAAAAGACCCTGTTTTTCATTCTAAATGTGTTCATATTGAAGGTACCAATTATCAGAGTGACCTAAATAGAAATCCTGTTGTCTGAGCTGTACATGCTGTATCCATAAAATGAATACTTTATGTTATACTTTGTCTGCATATGAATGATGCAAATAGCAAAACAATAATGTATTGCTTAGAAGCCGGGTGCAGTGGTTGGTGTATGCCTGTAATCCCAGATACTTGGGAAGCTGAGAGAGGAGGATCACACATTTGGGGCTAGCCTCAGTAACTCAGCAAGACCCTGTCTCAAAATTAAAAATAAAAAGGGCTGAGGATGTAGCTCAGTGGCAAAGCAACACTGGGTTCAATTCCCAGTATCCATCAATCAACTCCTGCTTAGAAAACATGAAAAACAATAAATTGTAGCATTAAAAAAGTCTTGAGAACCTAATTTGTAAACTAAAGAATAGTTTAACCCATCAAACCTGATCATTGAGTCTGGATATATCAGTTTGTCACAGGTTGTCTTTTGAGTAAGATCTTAAATGTACTGCTTGGAAATTAAAATTGAGTCGGGCTCAGTGTTACACACCTATAATCCCAGTGGCTCAGGAGGCTGAGGCAGGAGGATCAAGAGTTCAAACCTAGCTTTAGCAAAAACAAGGCGCTAAGCAACTCGGTGAGACCCTGTCTCTAAATGAAATACAAAATAGGGCTGGGGATGTGGCTCAGTGGCCAAGTACCCCTGAGTTCCATCCCTGGTGCCAGGAAAAAAAATTGTTATTGTTTTAATCCAGTAACAATTATAGGGATTATCATTTATTTATAGCTATATATTCAGTGTTTTATGTGGAGTAATTGTCCTAATAAAAATGTATTAAATGAATATATAAAGGAATGAATATTGGCTTTGGGTAAATTATAGGTCAAAGAATTATCTATATTCTAAATTTTTGAGTGGTAATTTCCTTAAGAATAATTTTAGCCATTTAAAAAATTCCATACAATATTTTTGGTGATATATTCTGATACTTTTCATGAATCTACAAGAAGATTCAGTAACAAAATAGTTTCAGCATCTATTCCATCACATTAGTGTGGAGAGGACAGAAAAATGAAATTAAAATATGACTCACTAATGCCTGTAATTTTTTTTCTCTACTTAAAAAAAAAAAGACTCCTTGTTTTCTGCTGTAAAAAACTTCTCAGAGGCTGCTTCAGATTTTCATAGAAGACTCACAGAAGTTGATCTTAATAAGTAAGTTTCAGATGCCTACTGTTTTGAAGAATAATCTGGTTGAAAGAATGAACTGTTTTCACTCGCTTAAGCATTCAGCTCTAAATCACTGCTATTCAAATTATGGTCTGCAAATCAATAGCATCACCATTACCTGCAAGCTTGTTAGAAAGGCAGAAATCAGAGCCCACCCAAGACATAGAGAATTAAAATTTGCTTTTTAAAAAGAACTTCAGGTGATTCAGGAGATACTGTTGTAAATGGAAGTCTAAACACTTATTTCAATACAAGGGCCAGAAATGTGTTTTTAGGAGTTTGTGTTGTTTAGCTGGTATTCATTCATAGCTTTATGGGTTTAAGTGCATTTGTACTCTATTTCATTATAGTCCTTTTCCAACACTTCTATGCATCAATTTATAATTCTTTCTTTATCGAATTCATATAACTTGTTGCCAGTTTTAGCTTGAAAATAGTTTAAAAGTTATATTCAAAGTAAAACATTATGTAATAAACATAAATTGCTCCACACATTATAGTCCATGACATTACGTTTTCAGACTTAATCAGAAAACAGAAAGCTTTGCCAGTCATTTTTTTTTTTTTTCCTTTTGGTACCTGGGATTGAACCTAGGGGTGCTTTACTACTGAGCCACATCCTCAGTCCTTTTTTGTATTTTTATTTAGAGACAGGGTTTCCTGAAGTTACTTAGGACCTCATTGAATTGCTGAGGCTGGCTTTGAACTTCTAGTCCTCCTGTCAGCCTCCTGAACTGCTGATATTAAGGGCATGAGCCATCACACCTGGCTTTGTCAGTCATTTTAAGGAGACTTTCTTCTCCTTTGAATTGTAGGAGTGCCCAGGGAACTCAAGATGACAGTCTGAAAATTTCAAGTGCAAAAGGAATTCGCAGCCCACTGTTTCCTTCCCTTCTTGTGGACTCCTAAAACCTTCAGTCATTGTTTGCTATTCTGCCTTTATTTGGCTCATTTCTTCCATAGTAGGCTGAGTGACTTGTCAGAAACAACTTGGTAGTTCACCCTGTACTATCCAAAATGCCTAGCTGACTGTCTTCCAGTTCTTTTTGATCATCTTGTGGCCTTGAAAAACAAATCATTACCAGTAGGACTGTTATTATAAATGCCAGAATGATGACCTTGCTATGTAGTTTATCATGTAAAGAAGTACTAGATTAATATGCATTTTTGATTAAAAGAAAAATAAATTGATTTTAATTATTTTTCCATGTCATCTTTATTTAATATTATTTTAAATATGGTTCTATAGTAAAGGTTTTAATTACATATTTCTTGTTCTCAAAGTCCCATTGCAGTGAGAATTATGAATGACCAATTGATGCTTCTGGAAAGAGCATTCATTGATCCCCTTGGTTTACCTGGGAGACAGTTCTATAGGTAAGGAAAACAGTAGGGAATCCACTAAATGGTACCAAATACCTCACTTTGACAAGAAAAAAAAAATACCTAAAGTCTGCTGTAAACTGTGATTATTAAATGAATAGAGGGTGATTATGTATACTGAAAGAAACATGGGCATATTATGCATCTAATACTAGTATAATACATAATACCAAAAAATTACACATTTTTCTACAAATGGTGAGGATTAAATAAGAACTCTTCTAACAAAATTATCAAGCCATAGAATTTAAAAGGAGATCTTGGAGAGTTCAGCTAGTTGAACTATCTACATGAATCCTTACAGACTCTCAGTTAACATACAGGATGGGAAGCTTACTTCATGAGGAAGTCCAGTCTGTTAGAGAAAGTCTCATTATTACAAAACTTTCTTCATAAAGATCTGAAATCTATTATTCTGTAATGTTCTCCCTTTGGCCCAGATCTTTTCTCCAAAGTAGAGTAACATTTCCATATAACATTTTAGGTTTTTTAAAGATGGCTGCCATGTTCCTATAAAGAAATATAATGGTTTTCTTTTTGTATATCAGCATGTTTTCTCAAGGTCCTTTGTAAATTATGGCTTCTTGTGGAAATTAGAAAGGTCCTAAAATGTAAAGTCATAAAATATATGATCAAGTTCACTTACAGATGTGAGATTTAGTTTAAGTGGCTTCCATGGCTTTCCCATCTCAATTAAGATGATGTTAATTGCTAAGGCTATCTATCAACAAATAACATGCCAAAAATTGTTGTATACATTACCTTCCTAAATATCAGTGATTATTATTAACATTTAAGTAATTATAAGAAGTTTATGGAGCCCAGCTCTGTCACATAGTAAGTGTGAGCGAGGCAAAATTAAAGAAGCATACACTCAGTACATGGCAGTTAGTTTTATAAATTGTAAATAAGAACATAAATGTTTACTCATGCAAATGAAATAGGGCAATTAGTTAAGTATATAAATCAAAAAGTTAAAAACAATATCTATAGTCTTGTTATTAATCTCTTTAAATTTCTATTGTTTATAATCAAACATCTATTATTTTAAAATATAAAAATATCAGTCTTTATGGGAGCATATAGAAAAAAAGAGACAAGGCATTTTCATCACTCTCTCCTATATTTCACTCAGTCCCACTATTTTCAGAGAAATTCAGTGTTTATTGGGAATTTCTTACACACACACGTATATATATATATGAATGAATATATAAAATGTATGTATGTATATATATATATGAATGAATATATAAAATGTATATCATTATAATCTGTATATATTGTTTACATGTAAGTATGCATAAATTGTATTCATGTATATATGTATACATTTACTTATAATACACATATTGTCTGCATACATATACATGCACACATTATAATATGAACCTTTCTTTACTTAAAGATAAATGGAACCATATAGGAGTTTACATATTTTTTTCCCTTAATAATCTCTTTTAGCTTTCTATGTTACTGTATAGTTTTGCTCTTTTCATCTGCAGCCTACTGCTATATTATATGGCTCACATTTTATAATTTATCTTATTTAAATTAAATTTTTTTTTTTTTAGTTGCGGATGGACACAACACAATACCTTTATTTGGTGCTGAGGATCAAACCCAGTGCCTCACTTGTGCTAGGCAAGCACTCTACCACTTTGAGTCTTTTCTCCCAGTTATTTATTACTATAGGACATAATAAATATATATGGAAGTAAGTTATTGTTGTGTCCTATTTGAACATTTACTATCTCCATAATTAGGACTTGGGATTTCAGGGTCTAAGGACCAATAAATTTTAAAATTTGATGAGGTTACTACAACCTAATCTCCAAAAAAATTACACTGATTTTTTAATTTTATTTTTTGGGTACAGGGGTGCTTTTACTATTTTGAGACAGGTTCTTGTTTAGTTGCTGAGGCTGGCCTCAAACCTATGATCCTTCTTCCTCAGCCTCTGAATCACTGGGATGAAAAGCATTATGCCACTGTGACTGGCCTACACTGTATTTTTAAGATACATTTTTGACTATTAACTAAATATTAAAAGTATATTCTAAAGTAGTTACATAATGGAGTTTGTCTACTGCAGTGGTATAGGAATAATTTTTCCGTGTATGATTGTAAAGGTTACTTTATTAAGTGAATATATAATGTATTGCACCCTTTCACTTTCCCAAATAACTTCTGAAGTGAATATAGTTATGGTAGTAATTCATTTCCATTTGTTTTAAATAAGAATATTTTCTTTTAGGCACATCATTTTTGCTCCAAGTAGCCACAACAAATATGCTGGAGAATCATTTCCTGGGATTTATGATGCTATGTTTGATATTGAAAATAAAGCAGACCCTCATTTGGCCTGGACAGAAGTAAAGAAACATATTTCTATTGCAGTTTTCACAATTCAAGCAGCAGCAGGAACACTGAAAGAAGTGTTATAAGAAGGCATCAGCTAAGTGAATAACTATTAAAAGTGTTGCTGAAAGTCTGAGGATGAAGTCAGTCTTTTTGATGGCCTGTGAAGCCTGAGTGTTCTAAAATCTTGATTTTTAATGTCTACCAACAGATAAATGGATAAATTGTGGGAATACATATCCATAAGGGAATACTACTCAGCAGTAAAATTAAAGGAAGCAATGCTACTGGAAGACATTGTTGAGTGACAGAAGCTAGGCATAAAAGAGTACATAAGGCAAAACCATTTACATGAAGAAGTGTTAAACTAGATATAAATTGGTGATTGGACAAACGACCGGAGGGAAAGGATGGTGACAAAGATGTATGGAAAATCTTTCTTGGATAAATGTGTTTTCTGTATCTGGAGCTGTTACAGCAGTGTACACATTTGCCATACCTCATCAAACTAAAAATGTCTACATCTTACTGTATGAAAATTATGCCCTGGTAAATTTGACTACAAAAAATAAAGGTCTGGTAGAAAAACTGGGATAGCACATCTTCTCTTGTAAAATTACCAATGTAGTGCCAATTGTCAGAAAAAGTCAATAGTATCTAAACTTTTGATAAATTCAACTCTATTGAATAAATACATAAATCTAATAGGTGATGAGGTAGCTGCTCCAAAGTTCCAGTCTAGCTTCTATAAAGCATATCAGCATCTGCAAGTGTTTATGAAATCACAGAATTACAGGTGAACATAATTAAGTTTCAATTAGCTTGACTGTTCAACCATGTTACCAAAAGAGTTGAGAATCAAAAATTAGAATGGATTTATTGGCAGGCACACATACTTTAAAGAACATCAATTAGTTGATCCTTGAGCTTTTAAGTATAGAAATTAGTTTAGGGTAAAATAGGGACAACTCCAAGTTTGACTGCAAGGAGAAACTACATCTGCCACTCCTTACAAGGCCAACAATGTGATTTAATATAACAAAGAGTTGGGGTATTTAGAAACAGACATTTATAACTCAACATTACTACAGGGTGTCTCACCATTTCCCCATAATAAAATAAGCACACGTGTAACAGTAATCTTGAGTCATCAAGATAAATTTTGTGTCCCACTTATTCTATGAAAAATACCACAAAGTCTTCCGCTTTAAAAAGATAACAAGTTGGGGCTGGGGGTGTGGCTCAAGCGGTAATGCGCTTGCCTGGCATGCTTGGGGAGGCACTGTGTTGTAGAAAAGAGAGGATTAACACCCATGAGTCATACATTTCTACTATCCAACTGAGTCAATTATATATAACTGGACATCAGTTCCTTCTAACTCTATTAAATTATTTCTAAAGGAGACAAAACACAAAAGTTTGGAAATCTCTTGAAGGGTATTATTCCTGCTGGCAGCTTTTTTTGAAGAAATACACAGGCTAACCAGCATATGTGACTTGAAATATGTATTTAGGATAAAGTATTAATCTTTGCAACTTACTGTTCCTTTAATTGGCAAGTTATTTTGTTTTTCTCATCTTTCATCAACAATTGATCAGAACAAGCAGATATGTGGGAAACACTGTAATCAGTCCATGATACTGGATGTAGGGTATGTGCTATCCCATGTTAATTACACATTTGAATGTTTTTTTAAAAAATTTTCTTCCTGAGCATTTGATTAACAGTTGAGCTGTTAATCATTATTCCCCCAAGTGAACGATTATTTTTTTAAGAATACATAGAAAACAATAACAAAGAAATATATTGTTGTCAGTATGTATTGCCTGATTTATGAATGATTTTTAAAATCAAAGTTAAATAAGCCATACATTCCTATTATACTACAGTAATTTACTTTAGTCATCTAAAAAAAATTAAACATGTTTAATACAATCAGAAGTTATATAATATTAAAGTAGACCACTAAGCTATAGGCATGTGAAAGATATATATATATACAGTTAGAAATTCTAAAAATTTGTTCTGTAGAGAAATTGAACAGAATATATAACACAAGGGTGTTTACTGCAGCATTTCAATGGGAGAACTGATAAAGTTACTGTATAATCCTAAAACTGATGATATATACATTTTAATTCATATGGTAAATTGTCTGTGACTTTTGTTGCCAAAAAAAAGTGATAAATCTAAATATAAAAATATCAACAAAATGTCAACAGTGTTTATTTTGGGGTGGCAAGACTCAGTATTTTTCTGGGTTGCTTAAGTTTTTAATATCAGGATATATTCCTTTTATAATTGGTAAAATAAAAAATTTCATTTTGAACAGGAAAAAGTATATGAATTTATGGGATGCAATACAGTTCACAAATATAAATCCTCTTCCAGGTTTCTAATTTAGCAGTTCTTCTGAGGATATAAATAATACTCACTTACATATACACACACTGGCCATCTGAATATTTTCCCGAAGTTCATACTTTAAATTAAGTATAGAAATTAGTTTAGGGTAAAAAGTTGATCCTTGAGCTTTTAAGTGTAGAAGAAATTAGTTTAGGGTAAAATAGTCACCTCCAAATAAATGATAGTGCTACATAGGTAAAAGCTAGACAGCCTTCCCTTGTTGTTGCTTTCTAACAATGAAGTCATTTGCTCTATATTCTCTTTTCTGACAGTCTGTCCTGCTTCAGCTTCTAAAGTACCTGGAATTACAGGTGTGCACCACCATGCCTATACCTCTACCTTTTCAATAGTTCTTATATTCTAATTTCCAATCTAATTAATCTAAATTCAGAGAAGCCATCTTTCACTTAAATGATGACTTCTCTTGAGATCATTCCACTTCCTTTTCTCCTTTATATCCATAATTATACTTAGAATGATCTTCCTAAATGTAAGCATACATGGACTATTTAAAATCTCTTCAATAGGGAGTTTCATTCCTGGGGATGTTGTAGTAACTGACAGACAATTGCTCCAGTTACAACTAGGAAAAATTGGATTGAATATATTTAGAGACAACAAATATTTTTAGAAATACTTTTATATTTTAAACTTTCTCAAGATATTTTCAGAGATTCCACAGAACTATGGAAGCACTGAAAATCAGAGGTGCTAACGATCTCTGAATACTTGGATAACTGAGATCACCAACTGTTTTCTTTCCAATTCTAAGCATTAGGGTAAAGTTCAGGCTTGGCATGGACTGAGCCACCTTAATTTAGGAGATAATCAACAGAGATTTTTGAAGGCTGTATTAACTGCAATGCTGTACTAGAATTAAGAGAAGTCCCAATCCAGTGCCGACATTTGCTTAGGAACTGGTGCAAGGGGTAGTAGCCATGCCATCCTTCCACTCTAGGTTTTTTTGCATTCTCATCTTCATGAATTTCCCTCCCCTCTGTTCAGGACTCTTGTTGCCTGTACTTCTATAAAGTGTACCAAATATGCTCCACAGCCACTCTTTCATTTATATATATAAAATTTATTTATTTTTGACACTGGTCTCACTAAGTTGCTAAGGCTCGCTTTGAACTTGTGACCCTTCTGCCTCAGCCTCCCAAGCCACTGGGATTACAGGCATGCACCACCACGCCCAGCTTGGCATACTTTTATTTAATGATCTTGTTTTTCTTTTTGGAATCTTGCTTGAAAGTAAAGTGTCTTTATTTGATCAGTTATCCCCAGCACACCAAAGATCACTTGTTGATGAAAACTAATTCAGCAAAGTGATGACTACACTATTAAAGAGACACTTTCATCTTATTAAAAACCTAAGTAAAACTTAAAATTTCACATCCATTAAAGCAGTTCTTCTGAGAGAAAAAAACTACTCAGAAATCTCAACACTTCAAGATTTTGACAAAACATAAATACAAAAAGTAGATAAACTACACAGACGTGTCCAATAACAATTTTATATGTGGTTCTTCATTAAAACACCAAGAGTTCAGGAACTGTTTTTTCTTAAAATGTCTTTCTCTTGTAATGTGATGGGATATCTTTCCTAACTTCCCTTGGTTTTACACAAGTTGAAATAATTCAACTTTGTGTGCCTCATATACTATATAACTTTAACATATTGCTTCTCTTTTACTAATTCAAACAGAACCATCTATGTACATTGCCTTCTAATTGTCTACACCTAACACAGAGATGTAAAGAAAAGTGACTCCCGACTGATGATCAGCCCAAGGCTATTTATAGGTACAGATTATTAGAACAAAATGCCTGTAGGGCACAAATTCATAGCCATGAGACTTTTACTTTCACTCAGTCCTGCAGTATCCATCCCTATTCTTGTTAACTGCTCACTGGCCCTTTAAACAGTTATTAAAAAAGTGAATGGCTCTTGGGGCTGGGGATGTGGCTCAAGCGTAATGCGATCGCCTGGCATGCACAGGGCACTGGGTTCGATCCTCAGCCCCACATAAAAATAAAGATGTTGTATCCATTGAAAACTAAAAAATAAATATTAAAAAATTCTCTCCTCTCTTTTTTTTAAAAAAGTGAATGGCTCAATTGACTATTACAAAAACTGACAGCACATTCTTTATATAATAATTCAGTTATTTGATACTAAAAAAGGCAGGGATAAACTTCATTAAGATATGGAAGTCTATTTTTTGGTTTTGCATGTTGACTTGGATGTCTTGTCTCACTGTCCAAAATTTAAGGCCTTGGAGTCAAGGAAAACAAAAAAAAAGTTTTATTTAGCTTTTTCACTGCTCTGACCAAGACTTGACAAGAACAATTTTCGAGGAGGAAAAGTTTATTTCAGGGGCTCGTGGTTTCAGAGGTCTCAGTCTATAGATAGCTGGCTCCATTCCTCAGGGATTGAGGTTAGGCACAAATCATGGCAAAAGTATGTGGAGGAAAACAGGACAGGACATGGCCACCAAGAAGCAGAGCGTGCTCCACTCACCAGGAACAAAATACAAATCCCAAGAGGTTTGGCCCCATCCCATCATCCCACCTCCTCCAACCAACCCTACCTGAGTCACCACCTGTAGTTAATCAATACAGTGATTACATTAAGGCCCTCATATCTTAAAAAAAAAAAAAAAAACATTTTGCCTCTAAACGTTCTAGTGTTAATTATCTTGGAAGGAAACCTAATGTCTAAACCATAAGTCACTAATTTTGAAACAGAATCTCACCATTTTCCATCTGAGGCAAATTATGAAGGTTTCTTCTGTCTCTAAATGCAAATAACAGAACACAGTATATTCATGGAATGGTGTTAAGAGTAAATCAAAACCTGACATATTTAGCAAAGTGCTCCACACATTTTATTTGTGCAATAGCTATCAAGTTTGCAGCTTCAAGTTACTATTTGTGAAAAATACTTCTCAAATTCCTAAGCCTAGACAACTAATGTAATTTTTGAAGTGCCCTCTACTCTACTGAATTAGACACCTACTTTTCCTGAAAGATTTAATTTCCTACCTTAAAAAAAAAAAAAAAAAGGGACCAGATTTCCTCTGACCATCTTCCAATTCTGATTCCCATTATCCATTTTCATAGAATTTCTGGCTTTACAAATTTGTTTCCTTTCTCTGCCCCCTACTTCATCATTTGTGCTGATAAATTTTAGTAACCTTATTGGGAAACAAAAGGGACTTAAAGAATTTTTTAAGGCATCAAAAATGGACAAAGTTGGTATCTAGTAGTCTGGGATGGGTTATTACTAAAATTTAGACTTCTTTAGTGGGGAACCTAAAGTTTTACAAAGAACTGTAATTATAATGGTCTCATTAATTATAATAAGCCTAAAGTAATGAACATTTTTAAAATGTGGCTTTTCTTGACACACAAAACTTGACACTTTCCTCTAAGAATCTATCATGGCTAAGTTGCTTTATCATTGCTACACACAAGATCAAGGTCTGTAATGGACTTTTGTTGCTTCTGTTCACTCAGCCTTCCTTTCCCATTCTTCTGATAACAAAAAGTTCTTTCATATGGAGGACCCATTTCAGATGGTTTGGGTAGCATACTATCAATATTTAGCATACACCTATATGATTCTATATTGGATTTACTTATTTCCACACTTGTGTACTACATCATACTCAAAAACAGAATTATCATTGTTTTTGAATGAAAATAACATACCCTCAAAGTTCACAATGCATCAACTTTGCATTCCCAAAAGCTAAGTGATGCATTTACATTATGCCTATTTAGTTGTGATTTCCAAATTCTGAGAGCCAGATCCCTCACTGCAAGCTTCAGACCTTAATGTTGTCATCCCCAGATAGCTTATGTTGACTTGTAAAGATTTTTTACAGTCCTATTGACAAAATCACTTCCTCCAAAATCTTGTCTAGATTTTCTGTCTTGTTCTATTCTCATACCTAGGAGTTATCTTCAAGTTTCTCTCCAATACCAAATTCCTTCCATTTCAAGACACTGAGTCTCTCATATATCTCCTCTTACTGCTGGTTCCTGCTGTATTTCATGCCCTGATCCTAACTGATCTTTACACCATTTCTAAATGCTCCTTTTTATCAAAATGATCTTTCTATAAAATACACACTGTATTACAAATATAATAAAGAGATGAAAGGAAGAAGTGCTCAACTTTTTGAATATGCAGGTATCTAGACATGTTTTAAAACTAAAGATTACATGCACACACTGTAGTTGATAAAGTTGTTTCCCATGGGCAATTGGGTTAACAATACTGACACTGCAATATGTTACGTTAGAATTAAGCAAAGGGATATAGTATATTTGGAACTCATGGGAAGTTACAGATAAGCAAGGGAAGAAGGTTAGAATGATATGTAGTAATGAATTAAGAGACATATGAGTTCATGGTTAGTTTAACAAAGATACAGATGATTAGAAACACACAAGTTAGTAAAAACAGGTTTCCTTGCCTAAGGGCAAAAATATTCCAATTGCAATAAACATGCCTAGTACTTAAATGCTGGTTTTTAAACTATTCTCCAATAAAGAAATGGCTGACTCTTCAATTTGGATAGTAAACACACAAAATGAGCTCAGAATATCTTGAAATGCCACAAAATAAGTGTTCAAACACACACAAACACTAAAAGAAAAATCATAAACACACATAAAACCCAACAGTGAAACAACTATGCCAAAAATTTAAAATAGGAGCCATCTGAAAAAACTGTTAATAACTTGGAATAAATTAAGCAAAAGAAAGTAGCATTAAACTTTAACCACAAATATAAAA